TCATGTTGCGTGGTAACGAGTCCGTCACAAAGAATTTCCTTGGTTGCCTTGGATTCGTGAAGATAAGGGGGCGTGGGATGGGCTTTTGGTTATCACTTTGTACACATAGGAAACGGCGAACAAAATAAGGATTAGAAGATAGTAGACTGAACCAACGTTTGGACACGCACATGCATTGAGCCGCAGATGCAAGGGGAAGTCGACAAATGATTTCTATCAATACAAGGTCAGGGAGATGATCAAGATTCAACATGCTGGGGTTTAAGTGAGGCTCAGAGTGTGGTTCAAGATCAAGGGATTGGGATATTCTCTTTCTTCTTTTGGCAGCACGAGCATCACTATCCCCAGGTCTCGTGGCGAAATTGTTAAGACTCGTCATTGATGTGCAGATTGATTGCAGTTTGCAGAGATATATACAATAAGACTCGTACCCACAAGCTCTATATATAGTGTTCTATCTGACGAAAGTGAAATAGGAATAGGAAAGATATCCAAATCCAACAAGAAGTAGGAAACGAATCAACTTCTTACTCATTGCTCTAATTAACAATCCCAATCCAGCGAATAGGAAAGGAAACTACTTTCAGAAAATTAATTATTCTTCCTATATCAATAGGGAAAACAATAAATTTCTACATCAGACTCAAGTATAACACTATTTGTTTTGTTAAATTAGTTGCTGTCCAAATTTTTAGGACCTAATAGTGTCTTCAAATAGGAATTATTATAGAATGCTTCAACAGGTGAGTTCAAATTTAATCATTTCTTATGGTAAATCAAATTTATATTACAATTAGGTCTCCAACAGTTGTAAAATAATGAAAACTAGTAGTATCCGATTCTTTCTCAAGGATTTCAAACTTAAAATGTCACAATTAAATAGGGTTCTTCTTTGTAGCATTTCTTGGTGGAAAATGCATGCAATTGAGAGTCCCATTTGTACACTTGGTGGAATGGAATCTGGCATATGTTAACCAAACCTTTTGCACCGGCTCACTTGTATGCTAATTGTTTCTATATTTTAGGCTGTTCAACGAATTGTGCATTTGAGGCAATATAATGGATCTATTTCCTTTGTGCCTGCACCTGGCTTTGAAGCTTATGGGGAGCATGCTAGTTACAACAACATTAGTGAACCTACTAACCATCACAATAAATGTGGTCCAAGTCCAGAGGAGCCTGTTAACATTCGACAGCATGGCTATGAGGGACCTGATATTAACTTGGAGAACATGGACTGGAGAACTATCAGTGGGCCATTCGTTTCAGTCTGGCTTCACAATGTCCCTTGGGGGAGTGAAGACACAAAGGCAGCGCCTGATGCCAAGGTTGGACTGTAAAATTGATTAGCCGCATCTGCTTCAGATACTTCTCCGCTACTACTGTCAAGGGATATTTATTCAAAACTCGAATAATTCACATGTATTTGTGCTCTTTTTGCCTGTTGGTGTGCAGTTCTCAGATGGTTACCTAGACATGATAATTATGAGGGCTTGCCCAAAACTATCCTTGCTCTCGTTGATGTCAGGGTTGAGCACAGGAAGTCATGTCAATTCACCATATGTCGTGTACTTCAAGTTCAGAAAAACCAAATTATCAAGCATTTAGTTTAGCTTTAATATTCCGTGTCTGCCTTTTGGTATATACAAGAAGCTTTACTAATGTTCCACTTCTGTTTACGTTCTCTTTTATCTCGCGACATACTGCAGGTGAAAGCATTAATTTTGGAACCAGGTCCTCTCACTGAGGACCCCACAAGGGGAGGGATTATAGACTCAGATGGTGAGGTCCTGGCTAGGGGCAAAGGAGCATACAAATGTGACCAAAAGACACTGATGGCCTATGATAAACTTCAAATAACTGTGGATCAAGGTTTAGCTACTCTGTTTTCCCCGGTATAAAGTCTACTTCTTATCATGTATTTGATTTTGGTTACACATCGAGATACCAAGCAGAATCCACCCCGTACAAAGCTGCAAGGGGTACAAGCGATTCGTTCGTCGGCAAGTTGCTTGCTGAAAAGTGATTTTGTAACAGCTACCAAGATTACTGTCGAAGTAATGTGCAGTTTGTCTTTCACTCTTTTGCTTTGATTTTACAATTTTCTTTTGTTCTGAAACAGATTTGTAGTACAGAAATGCACACGACTCTGGTAAATCCAGAGACCATATTTCATTCCACCTTCTGAAATACATGTATACATGAGCATTTCAATGATAGAAACCTTAAGACCAAATGTGAATGCAGATTGCTGACTTACTTTCTAAGACAGGTAATCTTTCTATCAACAAGAAAAGAACCCCACTTTTTTTGTGTGGAAGCTTGTCATTGTAGAGACTAGGGCCAACAAGTTCATGTCACTTTTGGTCGCCCAAAATCTCATGTGACAAATCTCTTTAATCTCAAGCATATTCTCTGTGAAAAGTAATCCAATTGAAAAAATGTAGTCATGTGCATACAATACAACTGGATAGCAAGCATACATGGCAATGCCACAAAGACCTTCTGGAAAAATCATCAGCTTTGGGAATTCTCCTCCTCCTTCAGGGCAGGAGTTTTCTCCTCCTCCTTCAGGGCAGGTGTTTTCTCCTCCTCCTTCAGGGCAGGTGTTTTCTCCTCCTCCTTCAGGGCAGGAGTTTTCTCCTTCTCCTTCAGGGCAGGAGTTTTCTCCTCCTCCTTCACCGCAGGAGTTTTGTCCTCCTCCTTCAGGGCACGGGTTAGGGCACGAGTTTTCTCCTCCTCCTTTACCGCAGGAGTTTTCTCCTCCTCCTCCACGGCAGCAGCAGCTGCTTTTTCCTTCTCCTCCTCCCCTGATTTTGGCTTTCTGTTGGTTGAGCGTTTGACATAAATTTTCTATACACAAAAATTAAAAAATCAAATCTATAATTCCAAACATCTAAAGGCCAACGAACCAAACATCTAAAGCCCAAGAAATGTATACCTGTGGTGGGCCAGTTTTTTGGGTGAAGCTTGAAGATCCTTCTTGGCTGGAGATTCTCTGAAATAAAAAAACCCCCAAATTCTCTAAAGCCCATAACCCTAAAAATCGCAACCAATTCGAGACCAGAAATCAAATTGACAAGCCCAAGAAATGCATACCCGTGGTGGGCCAGGTTTTTTGGTTAAGGTTGAAGATCCTTCTTGGTTGGAGATTTTCTGAAATAAAAAACCCCCAAATTCTCTAAAGCCCATAACCCTAAAAATCCCAACCAATTCGAGACCAGAAATCAAATTGACAAGCCCAAGAAATGCACATACCTGTGGGTTTTCAAGGAGGAAGGAGTGCCTCAGTTGGCAAGACGTTGCAGTCCGGCTGCCGTTGAACATATCCGCAATAGTCTGCCACTGAGCTGGAAGTAGTGTAGACAGCTGCCGGAGCTTCGCATCCTCCACTTGGCTCCATTCATCTGTTCTTATTTGGGGGTGGAGCCAAGCAACCCACCGATTCTGGCATTCTCTCCCTGTTCGTGTTCCAAGAAAGCGGGCCACAGCTTCCCATCTGTGTGTGCCGTATCTCTCCACAGCCTCGATCAAATCTCTGTCTTCTCCCACAGTCCAAGGTCGTGCGCTGATCTTCTTCATCTTGAAAAAGAATAGAAGAAATTGTTGTAATCCGTCGCACTAAGAGCCAAAAGAATAGAAGAAAATGTTGTAGTCGGTCGCACTAAAAGCCAAAAGAATAGAAGAAATGCCACAGAATTTTGTTTTCGTCAGAAGAAATGCAGATTATATAACCTGTTCGACTGCAGTCATTGTTTTTATTTATTTGTTTATTCTTTCTTCCAGTTTTTTCGGGATGTGCGCAGTACATTTCATGCACAGTGTGAGTCTACGTACCTACGCTGCAATTAAAGGAGAGAGAACGTGAGCATTTAATGCTTGGGCAGCTGGGTTTCTCAGAGGGGTAAAACAGGAAAATAAATAATATCACATGGTTTTCTCCTAACACGTTTAACATTGTAAAATGACTTTTTAACAAGTAAAAGAAATTTGGAAACTGATGGCTGCAGCAGCGAATTTCAATCGTGACAGGATAAATATAAAAATGACCCAATGCTTGACTTGGTAAGCTTTTGGATTTTTCAAAATAAAGCTAATAAAATCTATATGCTAGATTGTGTCACGTACAATACATAAATTTACTATTTCGATGTATGTATGAATGAACTCGAGAGTATAATCTTGGCCAAAAAAGCTATAAAAAAATAGTGAGCTTATACACCCATTGTCAAATACAAACCAATGAAACTAACCCTTACGGAAAGAGAGGCAAATGGCATGAAAAGAAACCGATTTTGGTAAGTAATGCTCTTCATTGCTATTTATTTTTCTGAATATTTGTTATACTCGAACAAAATTTTCGTACTAGAAAAACAAGTTTCATATTCATGGCTGAAAAGAAAGAATATTATTATATTTTGAAAATTTCTTGGTTTTCTCCTAACACGTGTAACACTGTAGTTGAAGAAAGTACACAGTCGGTCGCTTTTGAGCGACAGCGACTGTGAAAAGCATACCCCTATCACTAACTGTCAATTAATCGCACACGACAAACGTCAAGCCTTGGTAGCCGGGCCCACATGTGACAAAAACCAAACAAGTCAATTTCTAGGTGTCAACAAAATATAACTGTTGCTGCTGTTTGTTTTTGGTTTTTTTTCCTTTCCATTTTTTCCTATTTTTCTTTGGAAAAATGATTTCATAATAATAAGGGAGAATTATTCAACAAAATCAGTCCAACATTAGTTTATGATGCTTTAAACAAAGTTCTAAAGACACCCTCAAAATAAAAAATAAAAAAAGACAATCCATTATTCAAAATTAAGTAGTCACCATTTGACTTGGATCAACAAAAATGTATGTTACGCAACAATGGGAGCACACTGCATAAGGTTTGCTGCAGGTATACTATATCTTCAATATGTCATTATGTCACACTAATCTTCTTCTATCATCTTAATTCAAGAAAGAAAACCAATCATTTAAACTTGGCATTCAAGCTAGAGCAACTTTATTTCTTGGTGATCACACTTCGGCTCCTTCAAATTTGCTCTTGCCAATGAGCCATAACCAGTCAAGGGAAACTTCTATGTCTGCTTGTGTTTGGATGCCAGCATCAGGATCAACAGATACAGTTTTAGAGCCTTCAGAGGCGGCCTTGGAGCGGTAGTAATTTACTATAGGCAATCTAGGGAAGTAAATTGCATATAGAAGAATACACAGAAACTCAATGAGTGTGGAAATTGCTAGGAACATCACAGCAAAAGACCAATCATACAAAAAATCGTCATTGATCGCAGTACTTAAAAGTCCATTAGAAAGAATGAATCTAGCTTCAGAAAGCAGCTGATCAGATAAAGAACTTAAAAATGTTACTTCAATATACCTCAAATCCACATTTTCTGCTTTGACACTTTTAACCACAATGCAACAACAGGTATATGAATATCAACCACCAATTTGTCTATTAGTAAAGAAAATTCACATACTCGCCCCCTTATGGAGACCATTGTGATACTTCTCGAAGGCAGCTTTTGTCATCAGCCTCATGCCAGAAGTAAGAGCACCTGATGCAGCCAAGCCAGCAAAGGACTGCAGAAGCAGAACATCAAAACAGCACTCACTAAGATAGGAAACTGTAAGGTTAATGTTACAAACGATAACAAAAGTGGTCACAAACATTGAAGAACTTTTAGAAGACCACCAATCTGGATGAATTCAGGGCGCAAAAAAGACAGGTCTCCGGCCATTCCACCTTGAACATGGGCATCTGCACCCCCAAATGCACCAACACATGCACATATACCAATATAAGGTGAAATCGCTCCACTCCTAGACATAGCTAAAACCACCTATTACAAAGGGGAAAGTGAAGTTAAAAACATGGAGTAGAAAGTGGCACAAAAATAGGGTATGTACATAGGCGTTACTTACCACTATTAGCATCAAGGTCCCAAGGAAGAAGAGAGCATATACAATTAAGTTCCTCTTCCTGGTGTCCAACTTTGCTTCATGGTATGCTAGTGTTACCATAGTAATAAGTGCAAATGGTTGATAAACAAGGGTATGAACCCGCAACAGGTGATAACTCTATAAAAGAGAAATGTTCATCAGACTTTTAATCAGAGACTTTCATTTCATGGAACAGAGGTTCGCATTACTAATAGTCCTAATTGGATAGAAACATAATTGGGTGCGGCGCTGATGAAATTTCGAAACAAGTTCAATTCATCAACGCTGCACTCAATGATGTTTCTTCAATCTGGAACCTCCACTGCTCTCATCATCTGCATCTGCATGATTGATTTTGAGCCACCCTTACGTACTATATATATATATTGGCTGTGGCAACAGATGACATTAAAGAATGCAGTACACCAAGACCAGGTTGTTGTTGTATTGAATCTTGACCTTGTACTACCATTTCATTTTCTAACTCAACTCTATTACTTGCCTGCTCTCTTCTACCTGTACTGTTTTATGGTATTGGAAACTTCTTGCACCACACATCTCCATCCTATATTAAATTAACTCCAAAGCTATGCTCTCTCTTTCTCTCTGTTATTTTCTTTTACTATCATGATTAGATTTAGTCTTATCATGTTTCATTAATTAGTTTGAGATATTTCAGCAAAACCCACTAATGAGGACTAGGTCCACTAATGAGTCAAGTGATTTGCCACTTTCAGTTGGAGACCATCACGGGTTAATTGTAAGAACAAAATACCACTATATGCTTACCAAAGTAACTTTGACCCACAATCCACAAATCCAAAACTTGGCATACCAACTAATAAGCAAGATTTTAAGGAAGATTCCAAACCTTGTAGTGTAAATTGGATATTAGCATTTAGCATCCTGGAAAAGATGTTTTACGAGTTCAGCATATACCTTTTGAAATGGATTTGAATAAGAATTACATCATGAGCATGTTATATATCCTACCTACATTTTATTTAAGATACGTAACAATGAATCTTCAAAAAAGTCAAAAGCAAAGGAAAACAATTAAATGCATTTTCGGAATTGAGGAGAAAATTGGGTTGGAAAAAAGAAAAAAGAAAAATCCAAACCTGAAAGAGCTGCAGGCTGCTGATCCTGGCCCTTTGAAATGTGCTGCGCAACAAGAAAAAGGCCTAAAAGAAAGAAGAAGACCAGAGAAACCAGCCAGTAGCGAAGTGGTTATTGTGACATTGCCAATAACTTGATAGCACTTTGCCAAAATTGGATAGAAACATAATTGGGTGCAGAGCTGATGAAATTTCGAAACAAGTTCAATTCATCAACGCTGCACTCAATGATGTTTCTTTAATCTTGAACCCTCACTGCTCTCACCATCTGCATTATTGATTTTGAGCCACCCTTAAGTACTATATATATATATATATATATTGTCTGTGGCAACAGATGACATTAAAGAATGCAGTACACCAAACCAAGTTGTTGTTGTATTGAATCTTGACCTTGTACTACCATTTCAATTTCTAACCTCAACTCTGTTTCTTGCTGCTCTCTTCTACCAGTACTGTTTTATGGTACTGAAAACTCGTTGTACTACACATCTCCATCCTATATTAAATTAACTCCAAAGCTCTGCTTTCTCTCTCTCTCTCTGGTATTTTCTTTTACTATCATGATTAGATTTAGTCTTATCATGTTTCATCAAGTAGTTTGAGATATTTAAGTAAAAACCACTAATGAGGACTAGGTCCAATCTTGAAACTCTGATATATAATTCTCACATCCTACCTGCCAGCTATAGTGGAAATAGATGCTTTGAAATTACAAGCCAACAACCTAATTTCAAACCAGATTCTTACAAAAAGTAGTTATGTACATTGCACTCCATTAAGATTTCATTTATAAAAATTGCCTAAATTACAAACTTAGATTTCAGTCTATATCCATTGCCTAAAATACAAACTTATGTGTATGAAAGAATTACAATGATCAAGAGCAACAACTAAAATCTAATCTTTTACCAAAAAACAATCTTACCCTCAGCATCTTCATGCATGATGGATAAAACTTGATTAGGAGGAATGTGTTGCCAAACTCGAGGCTTTCCATACAAATGTCCCATTTGAGAAAACTTATCAGCCGCTCTGTTGCCTTCTCTATAAATATGAGTCAGGATGCAGTTGTTGATCTCTGGTATGATCAAGTTTATGTGACTAATATGCCTTTGCGCTTCTGCACATCGAATCTGTCTCCTTTGCGCCATGCTTTGAAGCAACGTCTTTGCATCCCCTTCGAGCCACACATCGGTCCAACCATTTTCCAGTACCAACTCAAGGCCTCTTCTGAGTGCAGCCAGTTCTGCAATAATGCTGTTGGCTCTTCCTATAGGTTCAGCATAGCCAAGTAAGAAGTCAGCCTTGTGATTCCTAAATAGCCCTCCAATGCTGGCTTTTCCTGCTTTGCCTTTAGAAGATCCATCAAAGTTCAGTTTTGTCCAGCCAATTTTGGGTTTTTCCCATGTCACTGGAATTGGGGCCTTGTGCAAACTCCAGAACAGACAAACCGGGTTTTGTATTAATTTCTCAAACCTCAAAATCTTAGTGAAGGCTAACATTTTCCGGCAGTTACTTTTCTTAAAAACTATATATTCTAATTAACATCTGCATGAATGCAGCACACTGGAAAAAAATGCTGAGAGGAAGAAATGAATTATTTCGTAGAGAAAAAGATTACAATATTGAAGAAGTAAAATTCAATGCAGCATCAACGTTACATATGTACAATCTGAAATTGCTTGAAAGTAGGGGGATAAGGTTTGCAGAACAAAAGGAAGGCAAAGGTTTGCATGTGGAAAAGTTTATTAATGGCTAAGTTATGAATTTAAAACCTCAAACCAGGGCCATTAATCCTTTGGAACATAAGAAGCTATTGCTTCACGTAACCATGCATTGATAAAGTTGGAGTGGAGAGAAGGCAAGGTACAAATTCATATTTTACAACAACAAGGCAGCACTAAAGTAATGCAATATATATACTCAGATAATGATGGCCAAAGAGATTTCTTCAAGAACTCTCAAACACATAATTCTGATTCTGCAGACATTTTTTTCTTCTTCTTTTGTTCTGACATTTGGATTTGAGTTTTTGAGAAATTGCATGACTTGAGGAGAAAGAGTGAACTCCAACGTTGACCATTAAATGGTAACTGTAAAAACCTACTGATTTTATCCAAATGGGATTTTTTATATATAAAAAATTGCAAACTAACTGCAATTTTCTATAGAATTGGTGGGAAATCCGAAAGGTAAGGATGCCTAAATTTGATTAGTTTTTTCAGGAATGCACTTGAGGAGGAGATATAGAGAAAGCATGCAATAGGGTCTTTGACATTGGTCAACTGTGATTGAGATGATCTAATCAGTTGCCTTAGATTTCCATCCCCACAAAATTAGTTAGGCCAATCAGAGGAGGAACAAAAAAAAAATCTCCTCAAATGTGATTGAGTTTCTAATATTAGGCAAATCTCTGTTATTGAATTAGAATTGGTTTTCATTGCATCCTCCATTATAAAATCAAGTATACTATACATGTACTAACATAACATAAATCTACTCAAGATGAGAACACACACTTACATTTACATACAACTTACAAGTGGCAATCAAGTATTAATTAAACTAGCCTAACGTAACTAGTAGTAATCCGAATGGGACGTATATAATATTAACTATGAACATCAAATTCGGACCAAATTAGGGAAGGTGCAACTTTTTTTCTCTTGCCTCATCGGCTAGCTTCGATTTCTTTCGAATTAGTTGCTAGCTGCCTTGCATGCATGGAGTGCGCTAGCTTTGTTTTTCGGTGGAGAGGACGCACAAGCAATGGCCAGCTTTTCTTTTCTTTTTTGCAACATTCTCTTGATGGCTCGTCTGGTTCTAGTAGTACTAGTAGTATAAGTGGTAACACGGCCCACGTGGGAATTCAAGGAGGAGGAGGAGGCCGCCAGTTTGTGTCGAGTAAGTATTGGTGTCGGCCACCACGGGAACACCAATGGGAAGACAGGTCTAGCAGAGTGAATCTTACCATAATAACACGGGATGTCCGCAACCTCCGTTAGCCTTGCTTCGCGAATGTTGCACATGACGAGGTGTTGAGAATACTCTAAAAACAAGATATCATCATCATTTGGGTGGAAAGCGAGCACCATAACCGTGTGAAGCCATTTGCTATGATATTTCCAAGTTACCATCAACTGGTTTTCCTCCGAAAGCATACGTATCAGGGTAAATCTGCCTACCAAACACCATTTGCCATTGTCATTGCATGCAGATGCAGCGTCGTCCGTGTCCATGTCCTTGTCCTTGTCCATCTGGTGGTCATCTTTCAACTCCCAAACACTCACATGACCATCGGTATCACCAACATACGCAGGGGAGTACTGGCACATTCGCAAACGCCCTTTACTAGACACACCCAAGAAATCAAATGTTCTTCCATACTCCGACTCATCTTGAGGTTCATCAATGAAATGGAAACAATATTTAGCCGAATTGGAGCTGTCGTTGGAGTAGGGATCCAAACCAATAACAAAGCCATCACTAGAGCTCCACCAGTAGAGCATTCCATTGTGCGCAACCCCTGCATTTCTATGCAAGCTATTAAAACAAAAGCTTCTTGGGCAGGATACAACTGACTCTGTCCATCTACCAGTCTCGGAGGAGAACATTTCCATGTTGAACTCGAAGGATTTCTCTGGACACTGAGGAATTATTCGCACAACCTTGTACCTGTACTCAACATTAAGCCGGATTCTACTACATGCATCACTTTCTTCTTCTTCCACTTCTTTTCGGTGGTCTTCCTCCTCACATTGCTGCTTCTTACAATTATAGTAGTAGTAGGGTTCGCAGATGAATCCCACTCTTACTTCCTGGTGGCATCGCGGAGCGGGAGGAAGAGCATCCCATTGCCTGATGTATGGATTGCAAATGTAGTAATCCCGTTGAAAACACATGGTTGCGCAGCATAAAACTAAGTCGTTATACGCTCCTACCACAATTGGTTCATACTCTGGTGTGTTGATAGGCCCTTGAAAACAAGGGAGGAAATTAAAACTCATGTTGCGTGGTAACGAGTCCGTCACAAAGAATTTCCTTGGTTGCCTTGGATTCGTGAAGATAAGGGGGCGTGGGATGGGCTTTTGGTTATCACTTTGTACACATAGGAAACGGCGAACAAAATAAGGATTAGAAGATAGTAGACTGAACCAACGTTTGGACACGCACATGCATTGAGCCGCAGATGCAAGGGGAAGTCGACAAATGATTTCTATCAATACAAGGTCAGGGAGATGATCAAGATTCAACATGCTGGGGTTTAAGTGAGGCTCAGAGTGTGGTTCAAGATCAAGGGATTGGGATATTCTCTTTCTTCTTTTGGCAGCACGAGCATCACTATCCCCAGGTCTCGTGGCGAAATTGTTAAGACTCGTCATTGATGTGCAGATTGATTGCAGTTTGCAGAGATATATACAATAAGACTCGTACCCACAAGCTCTATATATAGTGTTCTATCTGACGAAAGTGAAATAGGAATAGGAAAGATATCCAAATCCAACAAGAAGTAGGAAACGAATCAACTTCTTACTCATTGCTCTAATTAACAATCCCAATCCAGCGAATAGGAAAGGAAACTACTTTTAGAAGAACTCTAGAGTTTCTTTATTTATTACCCTTAGAAAATTAATTATTCTTCCTATATCAATAGGGAAAACAATGAATTTTCCTTTTTTTTCCCCTTCCTATGTCAATAAGGAAACTACTTATCTGCTTATTTATGCATTCCGGTTTCAGGACGGTCTTGTTCATATCTACTTATTTGTGCATCAATACACTGAAGATTTGGTCCCCCCCCTGCCATATGCATCGTTTATATGCCCTGGACGTAAATAAATTCACAAACAAGAAAATAAGTACCAACATATTAGAGGGAGAGAAAGGGAGCAATGAAACGCAATATATAATGCACAGACAACATATGTAACCTCGAATCATGTCCAGAATAGCATTAGACGCTGTACAAGGTTCACCAACTGTTGCCATTCAAGAAGTCCATTTACTACCTAACCTACTAAAAAGTGCAATGCTTGTAAAGTTGCAAGAAGAAAATGGTAAGCTGAATCTATGCATAAGATCCTGAAGATAAATGCACTGGATTAGTATGATATAAACATAAAAATAAACCAAACATAAATTCTTTGTGAGACTGTAGTGTGTGTTTCATACTAATGACATTGCCAGTCAAATGATCAACCAGAAGCCTGGCTAGCTAAAGCTTACCCTCGTTGACATTCCATCCACAGCCTACGAACTTGCTTACGTGGCACAACTTCATCGGTGGTGATCCGAACACACACGGTTCGTTGGGTGAGGACAAAATATGGGCTACGATCTTATTGGGCTGTCTGTGTCAGCTTGAGCTTACCTAGGCCTTTAGAGTCCGTTAACAGAGGTTACAGACAATAAACAAATGAATAATTATTATACAAATTTATAAATAAATCCAATTCTTGATATGTATTTATAAAAAAAACTCAAACACTATTTAAACATAGAAACACATTCAAAATCAACCTCAGTATATTTTGTTGGTGTGTTTATAAAATGAATTTTGAGTGTATATTTTGTAGGTGTGTTAATAAAATGGATTTTGAGTGTGTGTAATGATGGGTTATTCCACAGTTAATTATCTCTCTCTCTCTCTTCGCTGCTTTTGCTACGCAAGGCCTTGGGTTGGGCTTTCTCTCTCCTTCTTTCTCTCCCCTTCTTTCTCTCCCTCAAGCTGCTCAAGCTGCTCAACCTCCATATCCAGCTACCTCAGACCAAGCTCCTTCTCTGTGTCCATGGCAGATCCAGCCTCTAAACATTAAAATTTTAAATCTTTCCTTTAAAGGTTTCTGCTTCTCTCAAATCTCATATCCGGATCCGTACAGCATTTCTCAGCTCGAGCTCACACTACTTAAACCAGGCTCCGAGCTTCGTTTTGCTTCATGGGTTCGAAAAGAAGCAAGTCCGATTCACCGGACCCGGACGAGCCGAACCAGGTCGGGTCGGATTTTCCAGACGAGGTTTTGGAGCAGGTCCTCGGCATGGTGAAGTCCCGCAAGGACCGGAGCTCGGTCTCGCTGGTGTGCAAGGACTGGTACGATGCGGAGCGGTGGTCCCGCCGCCAAGTGTTCATCGGAAATTGCTACTCGGCGTCGCCGGAGATAGTGACCCGGCGGTTTCGGAGCATCCGGAGCGTGACCCTGAAAGGGAAGCCCCGGTTCTCGGACTTCAATCTGGTTCCTCCGAACTGGGGCAGCGATGTTCAGCCTTGGCTGGAGGTGTTTGCCAGCGAATACCGGCTTCTGGAGGAGCTGAGGCTGAAGAGGATGACGGTGACTGATGAGAGCCTTGAGTTCTTGGCTGTTTCGTTTCCTGGGTTCAAAGCTCTCTCGCTTCTCAGCTGTGATGGGTTCAGCACAGATGGCCTCGCAGCCATTGCCACTCACTGCAAGTAAGTGTCTTTCAATTTGGCCCCTTTGGAAGTTTTGATTTTTGTTATTGGGTTTTGGGTGTCCAGAATTGAGATCTGGGTTGCGGTGGTTTGAGTTTCAGAAAGCACAAAACTTGATAATGGGACCCATAAAACTCACAAGTAGGGGTTTTTTGTTGTTGGTAAATATCCTTTTAAAACATACAATAAATTGTGTAATTTTCTGCACTTACACGTGGACTGCAGAAACTACAACCAAGCACCCAAGAAATAACCCAGAAACTGAAATGATTCTGTTATTCTTTTTCTACCTCTCTCTCTTGAGGCGACGTTTGAACTGTTAATCCAAAGTCTAAAAGAAACAATTCATTTTTCTGGCTAGAATATTTTACTTATATTCTATAATAACCACCGCCCAAATTTGGTTCGCATGATAGGTAAGTCAATTGTTCTGGCAAAAAAAGAAAGATAGGTAGGTCAATTAATGAGAACAAAGAAATAGTTAATTGCACATAATCAAAGACAGGTATACAGAATTTTGATCTCAATGAAGTATTTTACTTTTCAAATTTGTCAGATTTTGATTCAACTGTTGGTGATCATGAATTTTCAAATCTGTTCGAGATCATTAAAATTCCCATATTAAGCTTGTAGTTGACTTAAGCTTTATGCTGAACTTCGGTTGTTGAAGAAAATAACTAATATCCCATCCTAATTTGGTTTCAGGAATTTGACTGAGCTGGACATACAGGAGAATGAAATTGATGATAAAAGTGGCGGATGGCTAAGTTGCTTCCCCGAAACTTTCACATATTTGGAAATACTAAACTTTGCCAGCCTCAATAGCGATGTCAATTTCGATGCTCTTGAGAAACTTGTACGCAGGTGCAAATCATTTAAGGTGTTGAAGGTTAATAAAAATGTAACCTTGGAACAGCTACAGAGGCTTCTTACCCATGCTCCTCAGCTTCTGGAGCTAGGCACTGGCTCATTTTTGCAAGAGCTCACTGCCTGTCAGAATTCACAACTTGAAAGAGCATTTAGCAATTGCAATAATTTACACACGCTCTCTGGTTTATGGGAAGCAACGGCCCTTTATCTTCCAGCTCTGTATCCTGCATGTACAAATCTCACTTTCTTGAATTTGAGTTATTCTGCTTTGCAAAGTTGGGAACTTGCTAAGCTTCTTGCTCATTGCCCACGTCTGCGGCGCCTTTGGGTAAATTTCCTCCTGCATAATAATTTCCTCATTTGAGAAAGTTAATCTATTAAGGTAGATGAGAAGAAAAGACACTTAATGACATTATAGCTTAAGCTCTGTTTACTGAACTTATCTGTTTTTTCTGAAACACTGCAAATACTTCATCTATAACTGTTGAAAGAGAAGGCTTGTTGACTCATGGTATCAAATACTTGATACAGGTCCTGGACACAGTGGAAGACAAAGGGTTGGAGGCTGTCGGATCTAACTGTCCTTTGATTGAGGAACTCCGTGTTTTCCCTTCTGATCCTTATGGTGATGATATTATCCATGGGGTGACTGAATCTGGGTTTGTTGCTGTGTCTTATGGCTGCCGAAGACTCCGCTATGTCCTCTACTTTTGTCGGCAGATGACTAATGCAGCTGTAGCAACGGTTGTAAAAAACTGCCCTGATTTCACCCACTTTCGTCTCTGTATAATGAACCCAAGGCAACCAGATCACATAACAAATGAGCCCATGGATGAGGGTTTTGGTGCAGTGGTGAAGACTTGCACTAAACTCCAAAGGCTTGCAGTTTCAGGTTTATTGACTGACCGCACATTTGAATACATTGGAGAATATGCTAAGAATTTGGAAACGCTTTCAGTAGCTTTCGCTGGAAAAAGTGATTGGGGGATGCAGTGTGTGCTGAATGGTTGTCCAAAGCTCAAGAAACTTGAGATAAGAGACTGCCCATTCGGGAACGCGGCTTTGCTCTCAGGTTTTGAGAAGTATGAATCTATGAGATCACTTTGGATGTCAGCCTGCAATGTGACAATGAACGCGTGTCGGCTATTGGCAAGTGAGATGCCAAGATTGAATGTTGAGGTAATGAAGGATGATGGGAATGATGATGATCAGGCTGATAAAGTCTATGTTTACCGTTCTGTTGCTGGGTCAAGAAGGGATGCCCCACCTTTTGTTCTCACTTTCTGAAGGTTGAAAACCTATTGTGCTTACCCTTTGAAGCTTACAAAATACATGGTAATCTCTCTCTCACCCTCACACATTCCTGGGGATCTTACCAGAGTCAGCAATGACAGTGTGTGCACTTGCAAATATTCATCGATTTTGTTCCGTATCTTATATGTGGTTTACACACAGGTACCTTCCGTCATCAGGTTACATGGTCTTTAATATCCTGCTAAGGGATGAAACTATTTCATGAGCCCTGCCTCTGTGCGCTTGTTCAGGCTGTTCATGTTTTTCTATCATCAATCCACCAGTTCCTATGATCTAAGACCAATATTGTTCATACAACCTCAAGTTTCTGCAGAGGACATTTAAAGACATTGGATTTGATAATTTTACTTTGGTTCAGCTTAATAAATGGAAAGTTGAGAAAACGAAGGATGATAAATTACTGAACTTGGAATTTGTTCATTTATTATGATATACAAATTCAAGGAGAACAGGAAGGCAGTAAAGATTTATGAAGCAGAGCTTTATGCCTTCACAGCTTCCAATGGCGGGATCCTATTTGCATCAGCAGCAAGATTGACCGTACCCCTGAAAAGCAAGAATGCAAGGCTACCAATCAAGAAATGAATGAAGCAGCCTTGGCTGTGTGTCACAAACGAACCAAAATCTGTTCCTACTATGCACTGCCACCCAGTCCCGTATGACTCATCAAATTCCTGCATGGAAACAAGCACAGAAAAAGACACATGAATTTCAAATGATTTAGTGATGATTCAGTGCTGAGGATAATACTGGAAAGAGGAGCTGACCTTCTTTATGAATTGGGCGATTTCGGTAGGCTCAGTGATATCGAATATATCGAGAGCCTTTGCAGCTAAATGGAGCGCGTCTTGCTGCATTGTTTGAAGCATGTCAGTCTCGTTAATGACGGCTTTGCCTTCTAACATGGCTGCAGAAAACCTGCCTTTGAGTTGCTTATGTTGAGATTGGTGAAAGAGCTAAAAGCAGATGAAGCAGTCTAGATTGAAGACATAGGCAACCGGGCTATATGGAAATTGGAACTTTGAGTTTCTACGCAAGTCCAGGCTTTCCGATCATTCTCAAAGAATTAATGCAATGGAATAAAGCCTGGTGGTCAGGAAACGGACAAGCTGATTGGTCATGTAAGATGGGGACATGGAAGATGCATTGCTAGTGCACTTGTTCTTGCATCTGGTTTGATCAATGGCTCAGAATCTGCGGTAGCAAAGGGCATTTTTAGTTTGGGGTCCACATTATCTTGGAGATGCAGGACGTATGTGGTTGCATAACGAAGACACTTCCCGTGAGTGTCATGGATTATGTTGTGAGGTTGTTAATGAGTTATCTGTTTGCTTGTACTTCTGTTTACTTTTCTTCTCTTTGTTGATGCGAAGACCTTTTAGCTTCTGACAGATTCAGGTTCATGGGAAAAGAACCTGAAGAAGTTATCAATAAAACAGAAAATTGCTTCTCATTCAGGTCCTCTGCTTGCATCAATGAGCCATCTGTGTTTTTTGGGGGATTGAAGGCATGCAAGCACTTTACTGAACAGACAATTAAAATTTTCTAGACTAGTGTCGGGCACAAAATTCATCAACAAATAGTTTGAGTGGAATGAATCTCAAATGCTTGAATAAGCAAACACCATTTGGGTTTGAAGCTAAAGAAAGAGAGACGAATGGCGGAACTGAAATTTGTCATCATATTAAATAAACATATAACAGATGAACATCCAAGCCTAAATATTTAAAATGTGAGATTATTTACCTTAACAACTGCAACACCAACTAAAATATCATCAAACGCTTTTATAATTATTCAGTGTTTGATTTGAAAGTTGGGAGAAAATCAGATTCTTTAATACTTAATAGTGCCATACTTAGATTTTATATTGATGTCTATTCATCAGAAAAGTTACAAAATAACTTTTAGATGGAATAGTTTGGTAAGAGGTCCATTCTTGAGATCATGTCTTGGAAATTATACTTGCAAAGTTCATGTGGATTGTTGCTTCTGTAAAAAAATAATCTCAAATGTGACATTAGTAATGGTGTGAAGGGTGTAGAGAGACAATCTTATATATGGTACTTACGTATCTCTTTTTAATTATAACTCTAGTGTAATTAAGTAGGTTGTGGTAAGCTGTCAAATTCAAATCTTAAGCAAATAATAACCATACAAGTCTTTTAGCAGATGCTGGTCCCATGCACGATTTCTAAGTCGCACGTCATTTTCTTGGAATGTAAGTTGTAAATGACAACGTTCTAGTCTACAAGTTTTTTTATCACGGCTATTTGTCAAGATCGTGAAAGAGGCGATGAGCACCCAACACCTACATGTTTGAACGCTTGAGCAGAGTCCACAAGTCACCGGTCTCTCACATAAACATATTCGGTGTCGGTGCTGGATTTAATTTTCATTTAAAACCCTGTAATTAAGTAGGAAATTTGGGATGGATGCTTGGAAGCAAAAAAAAGACACTGGTTAGAATCTTGGGGTTAAGAGTTAAGCATAATTAAGCAGCTGTTTGATGTTTACGAACAAGTGACAGAACTCAAAAAAAGCAGAGTTTTAGACCCTTTTGATTGCCAAATAGTTTGAATTGTGAAACGCATCCATGGGATTGGCAAACACCAAATTTGTATAACTTTATGAAGCAAGGTCTTTTGCTTTATTTTGATTTTTGATTATGAGTCACCTAGATAGCTAGCTACTTGACCAGCATTGCATTTGCAATTTTGCATTGGAGTAGATCTGATCAACATGGGCAGCAGCAATTTATTGTTATATGTACTTTTCTCTTCAAAGCTAAGGTATATATCGTAACTGTGCTACTAGCTGTATCGAATTTCACTTGTTCCATACTCAAAGTGTCCCAAGCAATCACTTTCGTGCCTGTGCATCCAAGTGCCATTTCTACCTAACACTTCGTGAAGCATTAAACACCCAACATACATAGCACGTACGGTGTTTGGCACTGATTTACTTTCAATAATATATATATATATATAAGGTTATTGATTATAAAGAAAATGACCCGAAATTACTGAGAAACTCTCAAAAGTGAGTCGCATATTAAACACGTGATTTTATTTGACGGCAAATAGCGTTTAAAATTAGGAGCTTTTATGCAACATGTGTAGCTCTACATGTAAGATATGGGATCCCAAACCCTAACACTGGTTGAAGACCATGCGCAGATTCAATTTATGCCCAAGGGCCAGAATCTCTGCTATTGATTGTTGCTCATTTATCTGACGGAGTGAGTGGCTGGGGGAGGGAAAGCATGGCGGCCAACGAAGTACAAATATTTATAAAAAGTTGAATAGATAATTGACCCAAAAAAGAGCTTAACACAGTTAACTAGAACCAAATTGTTGCAAATCATACTCACTATCATGACAAAATAACATGAAGATAATCCGTGAACAGCAGAATACAAAACAAGTGTTTTTGTCATGTTATGAGACAGCGATTTAGACATCTAATCACATCATGGGTCATTGATTTTTATTTTGGAATCCCCATTTTGTCATCTTCTAGGGTTTTAATCTGTGCAATGCTTCCAAATCTTATCTTGTAATTTACTATGCAAGCAAAGGATGCTCAATGCCTTTCACGCTTGCTTTTCACATTTTTTCCCTTCAAACAAAAGCAGCTTTTGGCTTTTTTTAAGCTCCTCTCTCATTGTTCAGAGTTCAAAAAGTGTTATAGAAACAGCTTTGGTTCAACTTTTATAGAGATTACGCTGCACCTCCATTTCCAATTTGATCTACAGAAGACTGATAGCTCAAGGCATCCAACAAAGGCCTTCTTCACATGGTGGGGTGGAGGCTGTGTCATCTCCATGCCAAGGTCATTGAAAGCTACCCTTTTCTTTTCTCTTTTCACCTAATCCAAATAGTGTCACTATTTTAAGGGTGGTCCATAACTAACCAGTCCAGTTAATTTTCTCACTAGCTATTAATATCACAGCTTTGTCTCTTGCTTTGCTGGCAGTGGTTATAATTAGTAATTTTTTTAGCGGCTCCTATTTAATTAACTTCTCCATTAACACTTAAAAAGTTCATATAAAGTTTTTTTTTAAGAACATTTCCTATTGAGGGGGGTGACAGTATATTAAACTTACACACATTACACGGATATTAAGACTCGAACTCAGAACCTTACCAGAGGGAAAAAAAACACTTCAAACTAATACACTAGTGGGTCTTTTGCAAGTTCATATAAAGTTAAAAGTTAGAAGTTCTTTTTTATTTTTTTGTGAACTAAAGTTAAGTTAGAAGTTGATAAAGGTCCAAGCATGGAAATTTCTTAGCATAAAAAACCTTCTTTTTCTACTCGTGAACTGAACGCAAACCTTCACTTTCTTCTCCGTATAAAGATGATTTTTGGGTAAAGCTTTGATGCCAAATTATGTCAAAGTCTTGGCCCTTCACATCTTTCAGCCATTTACAATGTGTTCTTTTATTCTCCTTTGTCTTTGCATAGGTCATGCTTGCGTCACAGATAATACATCTTCAAAATATTATATTAAGGAAAATACTTGCCTCCTTTCCTGGAAGTAAGAATTAGCCCTACAGTATTTCTAGCCTGAGTTTACAAGGAATAGGGTTACTCCCCCTATTGCCAATTGGTTTTGGGATAGAACCTCAACTTCTTTGCGTAATTTGTAGGAAGTAAGAATGTCTCTTTCTAAGAAATGAGGAAAGACCGTGTCCTTATATTAAAGAAGAAAAAAAAAATAAAAAAAGAGAGTTTTTTTTTTTCTTCATGTTGGCCATATTTAAGGAAGAGAAATGGCAAAGAGGAATGATGAGAATCAAACTCTCCCTATTAACCAACGAGAATAAGTGATCTATCATTGAACTTGGAAGGAAAAAGCAAAAAAAAGCAACCAAAAAAAAAAAAAAAAAACTTGATAATTGAGTGTTGGGAATTATGATGGTTAATTTGTTACATCTTACAATTATTTAGATTGAAATGGTTCCACTATAAAGTTTGTAAAATAATAATAAAAGAATGCACACATAATGTAAGCATTGCTTTAAAGTTTTTACCACCAACAGTGAATAATATTATCTTATTAAAAGCATGTTTAAATTGTATAGCTCATAGCAAAGGAACCATCACATACAATGATTAGATTATAATTTAGAAGAGATAATCAAAGATTAGAAGAGATAAACAAAAAACTTCCACCTCCTATAAATAGGCTCCAACTTCCAACAGATTCAGATCCCCAGTTTAATGACAAAAATACCCCTCTTTAATTTCCTACTCATCCGTCACCACCACACGCCACCCCAAAAGGCCAGCCCTGTAAATTCACATTAAAATCTGCCAAACCAGAGAGAGATAAGAGATGGAAAGTCAGAGCCTCTCTCTTTGTTCACGATAAGATTGTCACTTAGATTCCATTCTGTTCCCAATTTCCGATCAAACTGGCCAGAATCTAACCCACTTTGCTGTTACAAAATGAGTTAAATCCAAAAACCAATGAGAACCACAAAAATGGGGGAAGAAGGGAAGGGACCCAAAGAAGCAGAGCAAAGCCCAGACTTGCCGGAATCTTCAGCCGGCTCATCAAGTCTCCGGCGAGCCGTTGAGTCCATATCATCTTTGATCTCACTCTCTTTTTCCATCAAAATCTTCGCAGCGAAATGGAATACAATAAGGACCAAGCTCGAAGATTTGAACTCTGGCCTAGCGGCCGTACAAAACTGCGAAACTGATGAAAATCCAGTTCTTTTAGGCCTAGTGTCGAACATATCGGGCACGGTCAACGAGTGCCACGGTCTTGCTCGGCGCTGCGTTGATCTTTCTTACAGCGGGAAGCTTCTGATGCAGAGCGACTTGGATATGCTCTCTGCAAAACTCGATCTTCACGCAAGAAACCTCTCGGAGATTTACAACGCCGGGGTTTTGACTCACAGGTTTGCGATCGTCGTTTCGAGGCCTGGAAACGGAGCTTGCAGAGACGACATGAGGTTCTATGTTACAGACTTGATGACAAGAATGAAGATTGGGGGCGCAGAAATGAAACGACAGGCTCTGCTTAATTTGTATGAGGCTGTGGTGGAAGACGACAGGTACGTGAAAGTCGTCGTGGAACAGAGTGACATTGTGAACGTGTTGATCAGCCTTCTTGATTCGCATGAGGCTGAAATCCAAGAATGGTCTGCGAAGGTTGTTTCTGTAATTTCTGGGTTTGGTTCATATAAGGTTGTTCTCATCGGAGCTGGGATCATAGCGCCATTGATTCGGTTGTTGGAGTGTGGAAGCGAGGTTGGGAAAGAAGGGGCTGCAAAGAGCTTGCAGAGATTGACTGAGAATTCCGATAACGGGTGGTCGATTTCAGCTCACGGCGGTGTCACAGCTCTGCTTAAATTATGTTCCGGTTGTGAAGGTGGTGATGTGAGAGCAGAGTTGGTTGGTCCTGCTTGTGGGGCACTCAAAAATCTTGTTGGGGTCGAAGAAATAAAGAGATTCATGGTCGA